GGTGCTGAGGATGTTGAGATAGGCAAATGCTTGGAGAATGTCAAAGTGCTGGCAGGCGATTCTCGTGATGCCAATGGACGTGGACGCTTCTTTCCATTTATACCGGAACATCATTTACGAGCCGTTGTTAACAAAAATTACTGGTATTGGCAGATGATCTACTATGACACAGATGAGGTCAGAGACCCTTACTTTAGTTATTAGTACTATAAGACGACTTAAAAAATAATTTGTTAACAAACGCTCGCATCTGTATTTACAGGGTCTGGATGGTTGCTCCAATTATACTATATCATTTCATTATATCAAGCCCAATCAAATGTATGTGCTGGACTATTTGATATATCAGCTACGACCATATGGCATAGTCCATAAGCCCGATGCATTGCCCAAGAAATTGGCATTGGGCGAACTGATGCCAGCCCCACAAGTTCCAGTGGAGTCCCAAGTATCAACAGAGTCCAAGGATTCGAATACAACCGAAACAGTAACGAAAGCGCAATGATTTTAGATGTTTTGTCATGTCAAAAGATCTTGTGCGAATATATCTCGATCAGACTCAGTGTAGGATAATTTGCCATTTTTATATGGGCTCCTGTATTCGTTAGGCTCGCTTTATGAACCAGTACTCTAGGTTGCTTAAAAGCAAAAATAAATACTAATAAATAACGAGACAAGCGCTCATGAGCGTTATAAAGTTAGCCTAGCTCTTATGCTCTTATGCTGATCCGAATTTATCTAAGGGAAGCAATTTATAAACTAACTTTCTTATTTAACTATTTTATAATATCGCCATTAAATAAGTCAGTAATTATTACTCAATTTAATTAGAATATAATTTCATTATCAGGGTTTTTAACACGTTGTTTCAATGCGTAGAGCCTTCAACAACCTCTTCAACAATTGAGTTAAATTAAACTGCTTGGTAAGCAGTTAGGCCATTTGCCAACTGCTTGCTATAAGTACTGCTTGCGTTCGTTTACACGTCAATGTAGTAAATTTTCACATTTAATACAGATACTTTTTTATGTTAAAAACATTTCATATAAATAACTAGCTGGCCCGGCAAACGTTGCATTGCCCTCTA